TAGGAAATTAACACTAGTTAAAATATTACATTTTTTTATTTTAAAGAAAGTAAAACTAAACACAACAAAATAGAACAAATTAAATCAGAAGAAAACAATGTAAGTGACACAGCTTTCAAAGCAAGAAAACAGGAGATCTATAGTAGCTACCATAATGTCTCTTGTTTCCTTTTAGGCAGTTTTCCATATCTTCATACACAATGAATTCATACAAAACAAAATAGTATAAAACTGATCAGAACAGAGTAATGAAGGCATGACAGGCATATTGTTATCCTAGAATTTGCTCAGTTTTGCTAACAGGGATTGATAGTATAGTTATCTAGCATACAAATACATGCATACTTTTATATATGTTTACCAACATACATATAAATCTTTTCCTCTCTTCTTTTTCTGCTTTCTCCTATCTCAGTTGTTGTTTTCTATTTATCATGTTCTTTCTCTTTCATTATTACCATATTATTACCATATCTTGTGCACATTTTGGATCTTATTACCTTTTCAGCCTTTTATTTTTTATTTTTATACTAGTGAGACAATATGATATTAATAAATGTAAACACTTATGTCTCAAGTTACCGCCATTTACGTATAAAAGCCTCAAAATTATCCTTTTTTGTAGCTGAGTAATTCCATTGTATATAAATACCACCACCCTCTCTTTTAATTTTTTGCTTTTACAATTAGTGGAAAAAGTTCATTCTGAGAAACATTTGCAAAGAAGCTCCCTTCACCCAAAATGAATAATCATGCATGAATATACAGTATTTTCAGAATGCTTATGTAACCCTATCTTTTGAGGAATTTGGAATCATTTTTAAAGGGCCCAATTCAAAAGCAGAGTGAGCAAATTACACAATGATCATAAATACTGATCCTATTGTCCTAGGAAACCCTTTCTCCTATAACTATCCTCTTCATGACCACATTGATAGCTCAATATTCCCGTGGCACATTATACATTAGTACTGTCGGTGAGCTGTAATGAATTCCTTCTCAGAGCTGCCTAATTTTCTTTAAAAAGCCTTCATCTTTGCCTCCTTTCAACCATGGGTCTTGGGCATGGCTATCCCCTTAAGTACATCAGACACTTCCTTAACCTGAATTATTTAAGAAAAAATGTATTTTTACATTGCAAGAGGCACAATATTGTACATAAAAGTTATATTTCTGCACTACTCACTGTGGAAATTAGAGATTAAAAAATATGCCACACTTTGAGACAAGAGCTTGCATCAAAAATCTACCTTACCTACAGACTGCCTGAGTCCCAAGTGAAGAGGTTAAAAATCAACATATAAATTTAGGAACCTTGCTTTAATTTCTAGGATTTCATCCAGAAGTCTGAAATCAATGTAGATAAGCCATACACCCAAAATACTATTTTATAAGTGTAGCAAGTGCTGAGAGAACAGTAGTTGTGTGCATTCATGAAGACAACGTTAGGGATACTGGGAGTCTTTGTGGTGTAAGGTGAATAGATAATAGTCTTCTTGTCACAAAAGGGTGCCTAAACATACAAAGAGGATGATAACTTAAGCTGGCATTTGGAAAATGCAGTGAGATGCCTCTGTGAAGGTCTAGACAGGAAAGAAGACACCTGAGTCATTTGCAGCAGCGATAGGTAACAGCCAGTAAAGAAAGACAGTATCAAAAATCAACGTGGAAAAACATTAACTATCCTGGGCAAAAGGCTTTTACCTGATATTGTCAATACATGATTAAATCCTTTCCGTCTGTGTTAGTTCATTTATCATGAGGTAGTAAGGGAAATGTGGGAGAAATTCTGGACTTTAGACATACATTCAAACAGAAGGGAGTAGAAATTTTCTTAAGCAAGTGAACTTGCCATGGAGTGACTACATAAATTCATGTGCTATTAAAAGTTGAGTGGGCTAAACCAAAGTCCATCAGGGGTTTAGAAAACTAAAACAACAATTGTTTTTACTTCCATAAGCAACTTCATTGGTTTAGTCAAGGAACTTCAAAGAAATTACATATATAAAATACGTATATATCGTGTGTATGATTAGAGGACATTTATGAGAGAGAGACAGAGACAGAGACAGAGAGGTTTAGGTTCATATGAGTATAAGAGCTGACAATCCAAAATCAGCAAAGCCAGCAAGATGAAGTCCCAGGAAAAGTTGATCTGCAGTATCAAGTCCAAAGAAGTCTGGAGGCAGAATTTTCCCCCAGATTTAGTCATTTATTATAAGGCTTTCTACTTATGGGTAACCCACGTCACTCAAATTCTAATTGAAATGTTAATTATCTTTGAATAAGGCTGAATAAGATGTTCAAAAGCAAAATTAAGGTTTTGGTTAAACACCTACCTGAGTGATAATGCTTAGCTGAGTTGATGCATAAAATTACCAGTCAGACTCAACATAAGGAAGATGACATTTCAAATAATTATGAAGAATTTTTATCCCCAGAAAATAACTTTTTAAATATTATATAACCCATCACTTTCTGCAAGGTCGTGTTATGGCAAAGATCAACCAGACCTATCAAGGATGTACCTGCTCAAAAACTGTGACTTGCATAGCATTTCAGAAGAGCCTGTTGCTTTCATTGGGTCTGTAGTTGCTAGTAAGTTGCTTGTTTCCCTCTCATAGTCTTACAAAATGGAAGAACTCATATTAATATTAACAGGAATGTGCAGGCTCTGTTGCATGACCTCATACAAATCACCAAATTTATGGCATTCCTTGTGTAAAGTGTTGGACATAAAAGGTGGCATGGGAGACCTTGACCCAGCCCTGAGGAATCCCTTCTTTCATGAAGCTCAAATCCAAAGCAGTAATTTTTACCGCTTGCTGTGCATTACAATCAACTGAAGTCCTTAAAAAGACACATGCCTGGAACTCACATCCAGCTACTTTGATTGAGTTAAACTCTATTTACCCACCAGAGTATGAACTGGTTCCTTGTGTGCTTTGTTTCATATGAAACTAGTAACATACGGACCATAGTTTATTACAATAGATTATAGGAGATATGGATGGGGATGCATCTCAGTGGTAAAAGTGCTTGCCTTGGGTCCATCTCCATAAAGGACAAAGACAAAACAAAACAAAACAAATCATGCCTAGCGCTATTATAATATATGCAGGGAGAAGAACCTGCGGGAATATGGAGAAGGGAGTCACTAAGTCTGCTTGTGGGAATTGATAACACTTCACCAGAGAGAACTGAGTTTTTAAATCTCTCAAGATGACACAGAAATATTGGGAATACAACAACAACCAGAGGGAAATCAGACAGTTTTAAAAATGTTACACATACTCCTTTATTTTGTGAAAATTAAATAAAAACTAGAGATATGTTTCAGTTCCTCACTATTCTCTTAGCCAATCTCATTATCATCTTTATTTCCACATAATTAAGCATCAACTTGAATTTCATGTATCTATTCCCAATTTGGGCTTTGAACTTTTCATTCATATATATGTGCTAGTGAAAGTGCTTAAGTATTAACTTTTCTTAATTTTATAAAGGTATAGTTAACAAATTTGTAAGAATTTATGGTATACAATGTGATGTTTTGATATATGTATACACTGAGAAATGGACTACTATAAAATTAATATACTTATCACTTCTCATAGCTATGTTTTGTTTTTGACTGAAAACATTAAGATCTACTCTTTCAATAATCTTAAAATATGTAGTACATTGCTACTATCTATGGTCATCATGCTGTATAATAGATCTCCAAAAGTGATTATGTATTTTTGTGTGACTTTAAGTGATGCCATACTTTGTTTTATTTCTTATCCTATCTTTATCAGACAAGATTATTTTTTGAGATTTTTGAGAAGCATTCATGCATAGACATATGACGAAAATTCATTAATTTTGATATTTGAACAATATTATAACAATCTTGTTTGAACAATGTTAATTAAATAATAATTCAATTATTCATTCCCAGATTGATAAACAATTTAGTTTTTTGCAAATTTTTCTTATTATTCAGTTCCTGTGACCTTCCTGCTGTGTCTCTAAGTACATACGTGAAAGAATTTCTCTAGGAGTTCTTTACCTGGTCTGTAGATTCAAATAACCTGGGAAACATTAAAGAATACATATGCATTTATTTTTTCGTATAAATGGAGTAGTTCATGATAAACCGATGTTTTTATAGTGAACAAATAGGAAAAGCAGCTAAATTACTAAATCTGGTTTTAAAGCATATAAAAATTTAAAAATTCATGGGAAATAAAGGAAAATTTTCCAGAAAATAGAACGTTTCTCCTTTCTAATACTATCCCCCCCCCCCCGTGGAGATATTGCCAAATCTTGCCAACAGTTGCTTGTACAATCAATTAACCAGATCAGCTTTTGGTGGTCAGGAAAATGGGATGACAAATTTGAAGAACTAGAGGGACTCAAGCACACAACCAGAACATTTCTCAAGACATTCGATTATTTCTAAAGATGTAGCTGAAAGGCGGCTGAGGAATTAAGTAGAAATACTTCTGAAAAACAGAATGGAATTCTTCAAACCTCTCAAGTTTTAAAAGACAAAACTCCCCATGGTGAATGTAATCATTATGTATTGAAAACATACTAAATAATAAAAAATTAAAAATACTGAATTCAAGTGACAAGATGCTGAAAACCTTAAAGAGAATGATGGCTTTGTAACAGTTTTCCCTGGGGAAGCTTACCAATAAAACTGCACCCAGATGGTGAGAATCTGGGTCTTACACCAGGGGATGTCTATGGAAGCTGATTATGTATACACCTGGCAATTCCACCCATGGATTCATAACCATCAGCAAGGTATTTCTGAGAATTTTTTCACCAAAAGAGCTGCTCAGAGAGGCACTACTTATAATAGCTTACAAACTTTGAAAAGACCAAAATGCTTATCAACATTAGAATGGATATATAAAATGTGGTTGGAATTTTGATAAAAACAATCATATAACAAACAACAAGACAGAAAAATTTGTAACTAAACACTTTAATGCTGAGGAGAAAGAATAAAACAAAAAGCCAGAAACCTAAAGTATAATCTGTATGATTCAACTTGCATAAAGTTTAAAACAGTGGAAAAATAACTAGTGTTGAGTCAAGATAGGATCTGCTATACTTTAGGGGTAGCAGATATGAGGTATATCAAAATTTCTGGAGTGCAGACAATCTTTTCTTTTTGGTTCTGAGTAGCAATTACAGAGATAGGTTCATTTTGTCAGAATTCACTGAGCTAAATATTTACAACTTGTATTCCTTTTGTGTATATTGAAGTAAAAATGTAAAACATTAAGATAAAACAAAGGAAATAAAGAGGTTCCATGTCCAAGGATTTGGATCTATTAGCCTTTTGTGGGTGTGTTTAGCTCTACCACTTTCATAAATTTGTTAAACAATGTTTTTTTCACCTCCAGCATTGACTGGTTCTTTTTTCTAATTTATGCCTATTTTTCTCTTGGCCTATTTGCCATTTTCTTATTATTTTTACAGGAATTTTTTATATGAGTAATCACATGCCCTTTGTACTTATTTCAGACATTTTAGTATTGCTTATAATTGTCTTCCCACTTACACTGTATTATTTAATCAGAAAGTTTTATTCAGCAGATTAAATTTTCTGATAGTTCTTTATTATGAAATTTCAATATTGAATATTCTTCCTTATTCATCATTTCACAAAATGTCTTACATTGCTAATGTTAAAGTTTTCTTTTTGCATTTGACTTTCTAATACATCTAGAATTTATTCTCTAGTACAGCACAAGTTAAGGTTTTAGTATTTTCTCTACACGTAAGTCCATTGTCTGCCTGATAATATAAGTTCATTGGCATTTCCCCTCATGTGTTTATTTGAATTCTATTCCATATCAAATTTCCCTTTATGTTTGTGTCTTGAGATTTTTATTCTCTTTGACTGGTATATTTGTATATTCAAATGTCACTTTTCTGGCTTAGCTGACTTTATCATAGTTCCTGAAATACACATATGCATGTTTGTTCTTTCTCTAAATGTTATTTGTTATTCATAGATTATTAGCCTTTACATATGAAGTTTTAAGTCAATTTTACTAGATATACAAGAATTGCTATTGACAGTTAAAATGAAATTGTACTAAATTTCTAGACTGATTTTGAGATAAATTACACTTTTAAGATACCAATATTCAAATCCAAAATAAATAAGTAAAACATATAATTAGCAAGATGAAAGTATTTTAGTGAAGGAAACGGGCTTGTACAAGGGAGTTCATTTCACTTTTGATCTGCTGTTCTAAGTTTTCTAGGTTACAGAAGCTATATCCCTAAGCATTAGATCTCAGCCTGTGATTTAGCCTTACTGTGGGAGAACCTGTCAATGGAACATGTGGCAAGAATACAGACAATCATTCTGATGAGGTGGAGGGAAGAAGGTTGAAAAGTTCAAATCTAAGCTACATTTATATAATTATATATTTGTTGATATTATTAGTGGAATATAAAGCCACACCTTGCATCTCTACTTTTCACCAGGGAGCAGAGGCAAATATTTTACATCTAAGTGAAATTTTCTGGAGCTAAATTTTCTGGAGCTAAATAATTGGTGGAAACCTGAGGAATACACTAATACAGAGTATAGAGTTTCTCTGTATTTTGGATAATAATGAAACACTCATGGACTATCCAAGTGCTTAGGTTTAGGATTAACTTCTTCCATATCCAGTTCTTTCAGGATTCAAATTTCACCCTTTCTAAAGAGAAAACAAGTCTAGTCCACATCAATCATCTGCACTATGTCATTTATTTATTTATTTATTTATTTATTTATTTATTTATTTATTTCCCACTGCAATATGTAATTGTAATTTCCCAGTGGCTGCTTTACCAACTATACTTTTGTTGGGTCTACAACTTTCCCTAGAAAAAGAATGCTTCTGGTGTTTTTCTCCAAAATCATCAACAGAAAAGTTCTATCAAATCGGATAATAGGATGAAGGAGGGTGCTTTCAGATTGATCCATGAATTTGACCTCAGAGACAGTGATGTCACCTGATCCCTTTTCACCAATGCTCAGTGTAGCCTTGTGGGCAGCCTATAGGGAGAAAAAAAAAAAAAAACAACACTATTAATCTTCTGAAGAAGTAACAAACGTTTTAGAATGGTTTCAAAACAGAAAACAAAAGAAAGCTTAAGCTACCCCTTTGTCTTACTGTGTTGAGGCTGCTTAGGTATAAAGACTACTTGGCTAAATGTAGTTACAGACATCTGTGGTTTTAGGGCTAGTTTTAGGGAAGAATCTCATTCTCCATGGCCTTTTGCCTCGAAGAGTGATCTCTTAAAATAAATGCCTTTGTTTTCTTGGACTTCATGTCAACAGAATTACTTCTGATCATTAAGCTTTTCCAATAGAGTCATTTTAGAATGTGAAGGTCAAGGATGGAAGGAATTTTACAATGGCCTATTTTAAGTAATGGCAATGACTCTGGTAAGACTGTGGCCTAGAAGGAGTCAGATTCCCTCTCTAAGAATTTTTCTTTGGTAAAATGAGAAGGGTGAATTAATTATCTCTTAGTGGCTCTTTCAACTTGTAAAATCAAGGACCATAATCTAACAACTTACATAAGAAAGTTTTAGACCATTGTCCTCAGTGAGTCCAGAAAAATCAGCATTGTCAGCAAAGGGATCTTCAATGCCCATCTTTAGGAGCATCAGTTTAAGATCATATGTGGCAGAAATGGAAAACTTTGGAACAAAAGTATTAACCCACCTGTGGGAAACAAGGCAAGACATGGCAATCACCATACTAGACTCATGATTCTCTCCTTCTGTCTCTTTCTCATCATGGCATTTTGACTCTGCTCCTCTCCTGAATATTGAAAATCATTGCTTCACAGATCATCACATGTTACAAAAACCACAGAAGTTATTCTGCAAGGAATGCATTCTGCTTCAGCCCATTTTGGCTGTATCACTGACAATATGGACAAATAATTATTTCACTATCAAAAATAAACATCCCCTTGGCACTGCCAATGGTAGGAAGCTAGTGGCAAGCAGGTCATTGAGTAGTATTGCTGCTCCCAGCCCAGAATAACTGCCTACCCAACTCTCAACACCAAAACCCTACCTGTCCTCAAAATTCTAGCTGATCACTAGGTAGACTTCAATTTGTTAGCAGTACAGTTTCGGAGAACTCAGTTTATATTTCTAGCCCTGATTTTCTAATTTGAAAAATGTCAATGGTACTATATAATTTTCAAGTTCATTAGTGTGTTAAGATCAAAAGTAAAGTAGGTATGTACTTTGTATACTCTGGTAATATTTATACAGCTGCTAGGCAGTTCATGGAGATTCTCTTGCCTCTGAGTTTCTGTTGAGCTCAATCTTACCCAAACTGGTATGCCCACCCCTATTTTTCACATCCTTTAAATTATTTACCCCTTTTGCAATAAGTGATTCCATTTCTTCAGTGTTTTAGATGACATAGATGCCTCCACCCATTCCATCTGTCCCTTCTTGGGTAAGACAAAGAGTGCCAGAGCATTTTTATTGTAGTCCATTTGTAACACTGTACAGTTCAGTTCCATATCCACCAAGTAGTGATATTGTTCTACCTGATGCATCATGGGTACTTTCACTGTGGTGGTCTTATCCACTAAGAAACTGGAACTGTCTTCTGTCTTGGATTGATGAAAAGGATTTGCCCACTATGCTTAAAATACAAATAGAATAAATTTGCTTTAAAACCAGTATTAGGAGCACTGAAAATTTTTCCCATTAGTCAACTCTTCTAGTAATTAAGACTACCACAGAGATATGTATTCTAAATCAGGTTTGCAAATTAATAACTGAGGATCAGGATCAGGAAAATACAGTCAATTAACAGGTGCCCTAGCTAGCAGGTGGCAGAACCAGGGGCCACATCGATGGCTGTTGAACTCCAGTCTGTGCTCAGAATCATTATAGTTGCACTAAACTGATAAGAGGGAATTTTCTGTCCCATAAAAATTTTGTAAGGACATCCAAGACATAGAGCAAAATTAGAAAACCAATCTGTTCTTCCATTTCTTTAGCAAATGTGACTGGTATGTACTATAGAACTAAGGGAAACAGTTTAGACAGATTATCATCAAAAGTCACACGATACTTGATTTTTAAAAACACCAGATTTAGATCTGGCTGAGGATACTGGCTTTGAAATTAATTGCATGAATTTGGGTACTTATGAGGATTGGATGAGACTGTATGTAAACTATACATGTATCACAGTGTTTGGTAAATAATAAGTACATAATGTATGATAAAAACGCTAATGTAGCATTCCAAATGTGCACAACTAGAGTTTGGTAGTACTTAGATATCACTCTGACTCTTTGTCGAGTACAAATTTGCCCAAATTCATAAAATATGTTCGAAACCATAATTCTCAAATACCAAGATTTTCATACCATTATCATCCACCTCTCTCTCTCTCTCTCTCTCTCTCTCTCTCTCTCTCTCTCTCTTCCTGTCTCTGAAAGTGTGCTCTCCCTAGAAATTTCCTGGACTCATTCACAGAAGCATGTGTTCTTCCTAGATTACGCAGTATTATGCATAGCTATGTCCCATGGAGTATATCACTGTGATATGAGAGAAGCCTACAGATGCCAATAGTAAGAGACCATGATCTCTACTATTAGAACTTTACTAAAAGTATTTGAAGGCTAGACTTGAATCTGATATCTTGGAGCATTACCTTTAAAGTGAATATAGTTCACCAGGACCATGATGGTATTCAGTTTAAGATCTTGGATTAGGTTCACAATTTTCCCTTTGGTTTGCTTCTCCATCTGACAGCTGATCACTTGTTGAGCTGCAGAAACATTGCTGAAGTCAGTAGCAAAGACATCAGTTTCATACAGTGTTTTGACACCATCCAAGAACTTTGGCAATAGTTTCAGCTGCTTGGCAATGAAGAGGGCATTTCCCACTTGCAACTCCAGTTCTTTCTTTGGAAAATTCAGTGAACATATCAGGTGCTAGAAATCCTCTTGTATGTCTGCCATTGACGTGTTTGTGAGGTTGAACCCCAACACTTCCAGGATCTGTGTTTGGGTGCTGGAGCCAACTCCGAATGAAAGCATGGCCAAAGCTGCAGAAATGCTCACAGGGGAAAAGAAGATGTTCTGATTTGGGGTATCCACAGAGAACTTTCGGTACAGATTGAATGCAAAGTCAGCGTTAATAGATGATATCTTATAGAGAGTTTCATTTTGTTGAGGCAAATAGCAAGTAGTTTCTTTGCCTTTAGGGTTGCTAGTTGGCGCACCATTGGTTGTAGCATGAAGTCCAAGTAAAAAGGGAACCAGATGGAAAAAGGATGACATTCTGGAATGAAGGTAATCTATAAGAGATGAAATGAGAGAACCATTAGGACTGCTTAGTTGAATGAAACATCCTCTGAAACAGACACATAAAATCACCCACTTTGATCAATAAAACAGCAGCAAATGTTTCATGGTGTGCTTACCAAGGAATGGGGATGATCTCACTATAGATATACTGTATTGCACCCAACTTTTTTGGAGTTTTTATCCATTCACCCAGCTGCTTAATGAATACATCCACAAGGATAGATTACCCATGCCTATGTGTCAAGTTGGAAATTGCAAAGTTTAAACATAGCCAACGTCTTCTTACCTCTCAACCCTGCTCTTTTGACTTCACTCCATATCTCTGGCAAATGCAGCTCTGTCTGTGAACTCCAGGCCTGAAACCTAGACGTTATCCTAAGGGCTTCCTTCATTGTCACTTACAACATCTAATGAATCATTATGCCAGCGAATATTAACTGAATATTTCTGAAAACTTCATTCTTCTGTCTATCATTACCTACTGTCCTAGTTCATGGCCAAACTTACTGTCAGCTCCAAGCAGGACATAGTATCTCCTACTTTTCCCATTCCATTCTCCCTTTTTTCACCACTGCATTTATTCTCCTTATTGTCCCTAAGTACTCATTATGTGAAAGTCTTCAAAACTAGTTAGAAGTTGATTGTAATTATCAGATGACCACACTTGGGCCTTGGCTCCTGTACCTAGAAACTTGAAGCTAACAATTATATAGGATTTTGGCTTGCTCATATAGAGTTTCAAATTTCCCAAAAAGAAAAAAAGTACTTACAGCACATGCCTAAGAAGCCACTTGCATTTCTCAGAAAGCAACACCTTTTTGTCTTTATAGCAGGCTCTCTATTGCAAAATCAGATCATCCTTAGTTACAAATTAACTCGTCACATGAATCCTTGGATGATGTTTTCAAAGCTTATGTGGAGAACTAAGGCCGAGAAGATAAAAGCAAAAAAAAAAAAAAAAAAAATGATAAGGCTTGGACTTTGAGTGGCTACTTTGGCTGATATGTCCTTCATCAAAAGCAAAAGAGAAAGAGGTTTGTCAGAGTTGGTGGTGCCCATATTTGTCCTAGAAAAAAATGTCTTGAACAGGCAAATTGACAGGTGTGAGTAGAAGTGCCAAAAAGCAGTCGAAGAAATATCGTTTTGACCATCAAAACGAAACAATGCTTGGGACTGGCAGACTTTGAGAAAAAAGTGAACATAGCCAGAAATTGAATGATTCTCCCTAATGGGTTATATAGAAGTGATTTATGTGCCAGTGAAGAACATGATGCCAAATCTCTTAGTTACATTTCTCTAGTTGCTAAGACAAAACATCAAACATGCAAGGTTAAAGGGGAAAAGCTTTATTTATCTCACAATTTGCAGAGGTTTCAGTCCATAATCAGTTGGCTCCAACATGGCAGACAGGCATTACAGAGGAGAAACAATTCATGGCAGGTAGAGGGAGCAAAAGCAACCAGGAAACAGATAAGCCTCTTTTCTGTCTCTTATATCGTATCCAGGCCACTGGGATTAAGCCAATGCTAATCCAATCAATGGACTGATTTAGTATTCACCCAACCTTTATCCAAGCATCCTTAATCTTAACATGGCACCATGAATCAATCACATACTCTAGATTCAGGCACTTCTGAAAAAGTCCTGCCTTTATGGATATATGGGCTTTGACTGCATGAGGTTTTAAGGGGACATCTAGACACAATGTATGACATAAATGTTTCTAACCCTAGGACTACAATACTCTACACATTTATATCTCCCTAGAAAGAAAACTTATCTTACTTGTGCACTGGTCCCTAAAATCTCCTGTACCGTCCTCTGGTCAGTGGACCTTAGAGGAGGGTGAAGACAAATCCAACAGAGGTGGAATACAGCATTCTATTAGCCTGGAAAAACTGTATATTGACTATGGACAAAGAAGCATCAAGAGCAAAGAACACTGGGATCAGCCAATTTCGAGCTGTAGTAGCATATAGTAGTAGCAGTAGTGCAAGTAATAGCAAAATAGCAACTCAGGCTAATTGACTGTGGGCAAGGCATGACCTGAGGCATCTGATTTGAGACACTGTACTACATTAAGAACAACACATTATATGCAGGGATGGGGGGAGTTACAGTTTGATTTAAGCATTCATGCAGTCTGTTGTGGGACGTAGGACAAATACTGTAGACTGACACTGAGTCATTTGGGAAACCACTAGAGGCATTTTACCAATACATTGACTACTAAGAGGTGACTGCATTGTGCCCCTATTCCTTCTCAATCAAACATAGATTCAACTTCTACTGTGAGGAAATTACCACATTTAGAAGTGAATGCTAAATATCAGTCCTAGAATCAAGGGATCTTTCTACCTACTTGGCACCCACTGACCAAATTGAATAAGAAAGGGCGTGTCTCGCATATGAGATAGTTATGGATATATGGGCCCCACCAAAAGGCAGTGGCAAGCTCAAATGTCTTGATTACCAGATCAATTCATATTCAGCCCTTTTCTCTAAGCTAAAGCAAGTCCCTGCAGAAGTAGCAGGAAAAACAATGTTTGAAAGAAAAACTTTCAACCCTCTGCCCTCTGGTGGCATAGTCAGACAATGGCATGGATGTTAACTGCTGCTTCTGACTCACCTGAGCTTTGCTAGAAGTGAGTAACTACAAGGCCTATCTCTGACATGTGACAAAGGTATCTTTCTCCTTGCAGCTCCCTTCACACTATGCTATCGAATGAGAAGCACTGCCCCTATACTCATGCCATGTCTCTGCCACATAGCAACTGTGTAATTTGAGGCAAATTATTTAACACCAAAAAATTCTATTTTATCACCTCCAAATTAGAAACGATAATAATCTCTGTATCATATTTTTTGTCTCAAGTGAAATTTGAAGGTATGTATTAGTATATTTTATGTGACTATAAAAAACTCCTAAGTCTAGATAACTTTATATGGTGAAGAGGTTTATTTAGTTCTAAGTTCTAGAGGTTTAAAGACATAGTACTGGCATGATTTTAGCTCTGATGAGGACTTTATGGTAGATAATTCTTTACTGCATAAACACTTTTACACTTGATATGCCTTAATGCTTGACCGCTGCACCCTAGGCTGGTGAAATAAAATGGAATGCCATTTTATCTACAGGTCTAGAGAAAATCATGTTTACAGAACGGTAAAATTAAAATTGGATACTTGTAGTTTATATCTTGTGGACAAACAAGTTACTGGTTCTCTTTTAAAAAGAAAAACAGCCTTATCAAACTAGCAGAAATATTGTTTCTTCTGGCAAGGGAGGCTCAGTGAGGATTTGTTGTTGACATTCTAATTCTTTCAACGTTATTATTGGTGAGTTCTTATTTTTTATGCTATTAATTAACTTTGATAAAAACAAGCTGTCAATCCTAGGAAATCAACTAGTTCTAAATTTGTTTAATCACAGAGTCAAATCCAGAATATAAAGCTTAGCTAATGTAGTACACAGATGTATTTAAAGAAATTATATATTCATATTGTGTAGTTTTAATGCATTCCTTGAGCACTGGAGTGAAAAGCTAAGGATATTAAGTACAACATTCTTTTTTTAAAGCTTCCTAGTGCTGTCAGAATCTTCTACTTTGTCACACAACATTTGAAATCCTTATTTCTTTCATATTTCTTATGGAAGCAAGTAGATATTACAATGCTATGTTTTCCAAAGCATAACCATTTCATATGACCACTTAAAATTACTTTACTATTTCTTTCTGCAGACTGTTGTACTTTCCTGCAAGATCACAGATGGGGTTTTCAACTGCCTTTAGCTCTCTAGGACAGGCAATCAACTTCAAAGTGCCACAATTTCCTCAACCTTCTAATATCAATGTCTGTATATTTTATAGTATCTGGCTTCTGAAATATAAACAGCTATCAACTTATCTCAGTATTGAAGACCATTTCTTAGGAGATGTTATTTTTATACAATTTTAACTAATATTTTAGAGAACTTCGCTCATTTTATACAGAAGAAATGGGAAAGAGTAATAAATCTACTCTGGTTCATGGACATTGGCTAATGATTTGAATGGCTGTCCTTCAGAAAGCCCAAGATTGTAAAATAAATGGCAAAGAGAGGAAGAATATGTGTAGACCTCTGCAAATGAACAGAGTTTGAAGATGTATGTGTCCCATGCCAATGCTCACTAAATAATGAACTCAGTAGTGTAAAAGTTTAATAGTTAGGTGAATGAGATGATTCATTCTTGGAGGTCTGTCACTCTCATTTCCAAACACTCTTATGTTTGCTCCATGGACTAACGAAGAATGGGGACATGCCATGAAATTTAAGCATGGAATCAGAAACATGGATCTACACTCACCAAGGTGTATGTGACTATAACTTTAGCAGATACCAATACTGAGATTCCTACATGGATCTGTTATTTAATAGATACCAATATAAAAAATCCTATATTGTATCCAAGTTATAAACCAAAAAGCTGCTTGTTTTAAACTTTATTACACTGGACCACTTCCATCAAGGAAGAGGCCTCATTTTGCTTGCACAATGATACACGATGACTTTCAATGTAGTTTTACCCTCCATACCTGCAATTTTTCAGACAAAACTTTCAAGCTGCTTTATTAATCTTTATTGTATTCTATACATTGTACCTTGTGACAGAACAATTAATGTCATGTCAAAATTTGCTAAGGGTTCATATACATGAACTTCATCTGCCTTATCATGTCCCCCATTCCTCTGAGGCAGTTGGCTTAATGGAGATTGTAATGTGTCTTTGGAGGACTCAGTAACAGAATCAATTATTTGACATTTTACAGGGTTAGGCCATAATGTGATGTGGTATATATATCTAAATCAGTGTACAGAATCTGGTGTTATTTCTACCATGGTCTAGCTTCACAGACATTATGGCAATCCAGGATTGTCAATGCATGGCATCTCTCATTATTCCCTTGAGTAACTAGGAAAATTCTTGATTCCTAACTCTGTG